AACAATAATGAACAGGTTTAGACCTTTAAGGACTTCAGTGTTTGGAATAATCAGATAATCTAAAGAAGTTATTGTGAAATGTTTAAAGTATGAAAGATAGAGCAGAAAAACTGAATAAGGAATCTGAGATTATAAAAAATGCCCAGACAGATTTAGGAAAAAAATAAAATATAAAAAAAGTATGTAACCACTAAAATTAAAGTTGCAATCCTTGATTAAGCAGAAGATACAGCTGAGGAGAGAAAAGGTGCCAAGTTCACACTGTGAGCTTTGGGACTGGCTGAATGGGCTACCGCCCCTCCCCCCCTTGCATGGGTCATTATTACCATCAAATCATCAACAATGATAAAAGCTAGTCTGTTTACAGTTCATAGTCCACAAAGCACTTTCACAGTATGTCATCACAAGCCTGTGAGGGGGCACCAATTGTCAGGTTTTGCAGATGAAGAAATAAAAAGACCTCACTTTTGTCTGGATGTGAAAGACAAACTTAAAGTGATAAGACCCTTTTTTACTGTGACTGTGCAGAACCCTCCCCCTGGCACAAGTCTGCTCTACTCATCAGGGAAACCCTTATCTCTGCTCCCAGCTGCGGAAAAACAAACCTTGACCAGAGAAGGACGGGTGCAACTATGAGCAAATGAACTGAGACTGGGCTGCACCAAACTTGGAAAAGTCAAACAAACAAACCCTAGGGTCTGAGCAGAGGAGTTTGAAGAGACTGTTCCACTTCGAAAGGGGTCTGTGATATTTCGATTTATAATAAGAAATATATATATTTGTCTTTGATCCCGTTCCTGGCAACAGACCTCCTAAAACCCTTGGAATTTCCTCTGAAGAAAGTGGGAAAAGGTGCCTTTTTTAAGATAATGAAGTGACTTTGGGGAAAACCCTTAGGTAAACTTAAGAACCAGGCTGGTTGCCAGGGGAAGCAACCTGGTGTTTGGAGAGTGGGAACTTTCAGTCTCACGGGCTCCAAGGCGGGCAGAGGGGCTGCAGTTGGAATCCATTGCCAATGACCAATGATTCAGCCACGCCCCTGTATGAAGCTTCCATAAAACCCCCAAAGGACGGAACTCAGAGAGCTTCCAGGTGGATGAACAAGTGGAGGTCCTGGGAGGCTGGTGCCTGAAGAGAGCCTGGGAGCTCCAAGCCCTCTCCCACATACCTTGCCCTATGCATCTCTCCATCTGGCTACTCCTGAGTTGTTTCCTTTTATAATAAACCGGTAATTTAGTAAGTAAATGTTTCTCTGAGTTCTGTGAGCCGCTTTCAAAAATTAATCGGACCCAAGGTGGAAGTTGTGGGAACCTCCAATCTATAGTCAGTTGGTCAGAAGCGCAGGTGACAATCTGGACTTCTGATTGGGTCTGAAGAGGGGTGTCAGTCTTGTAGGACTGAGCCCTGAACCTGTGGGATCTGATGCAACCGCCAGGTAGATAGGGTCAGAATTGAGTGGAATTGGGGGACACCCGGCTGGTGTCAGAGAACTTCTTGATGTTGTGGGGACCCCTCCGCCACCACACACACGTCCATTGGAATTGGGTCAGAACCGTTAGGATCCCACCTGGGGTGGCTCCTGCTTCTCTCTGCCCTCGGGGTTCCTTGTTGGGAGCCCCCTCCCGTGTCCAGGGTGTGCTCTTCTCCTTTAGCATTCCAAGCAGGGCTAAAGCCCTTTTGACTTGTTTTTCTGTAGCAAAGCTGAGAGACTGGTGCTTTCACAAGGAAGCACGGTGCCCCTAGGGACACCTGCCCCAACAAAATGGAATCCCTGCTTGTCATCTGTTTCTTCACAGAGCGCATTTTGAAGCCGTGCTCCCGTGGCAGCACCTAACTTGCTGTCTACGCACGCAGAGCAAGGGAGGCTGGGAAAGGTAACTTATTTTTATTCTATCTTTGCACCATGGGACTAAAAAGGTTTTGAGCAGCTGTAAATAATATGTCCACACACATACGATGATCGTTGTGCACCTTCCACCCCCTTCATGGGGACTCCTGTCTTCATTTTCTATGCCTAGTTAATGTGCTCTCCCAGCCCCTCTCCTCCAGGCCACTGCTTCAAATTGCTTCCCTAGCTGGACAACCTAATGGTCAAAGCACAGGCTCTTAGGTCAGGCTACCTGGGATTGAATTCTGGCTCTACAAGTTACTAGCTGTTGGACATTCAGCAATTTACTCAATCACTCTGAGCTTCAGTTAATTGTAATACCTATTGGATTGGGTTGCCGTGAGGATGAAATGAAATGAGGCTTGAAAGAACACAGCACATTTCCAGGCACATATTACATGCTTGATAAGTGATAGGCGTTAATACAATAACCATAATGGTGTTTCTAATCTGAGCAACATTTCTAACTCTCAGCTTATTTGTAGAGCAGAGACAAATGTTTTAACTGCTGCTCAGTGAAATAGCTAGCATTTCCTTCTCTTGGTAAATTCCCAGCCTCGCCCTTCCTCCCCTTTAATGACTAACTCCCTCAGGTATTCTCTCTCCTCTCTCCCAGATGCTGGTTCTGAGGGAACGGTTGAGGGAGTCAGTCACATCCCTGCTGTGGTCTTGAGGAGAGAGGGCTATAATCCTGGGTCTGTAGCTTCTTCCACTGAAGGTACTGGAGGTTGTCTGCTTGGCACAGAGTTGCTCACCAGGACTGAGACACTTGCATTGTTAACCCAGGCGTGGGTTTTGGGCCCGAGGCAGCTGCTTTTGGTGCCCCAGGCCACATGTCCTCAGGCCACCTTTGACTTGAATTGCAGGTGTGGTGGATGGTCCCCACAACCCTGCCAGTGCCCCAGGCAGAGGCCTTGTCTCTGTTTTTCTCCCTCAGTTGACAGAGCTGTGGCAACAAGAGAGGAGAGTTAATGCTCTGAGTGTAATCCTCCCAGGTTGGACACGGACGCAGGTCAGCGTCCCAGCCTCCGGATCTTCAGAGGGTCAATTCTAAGGTGTATTCTACAGATCTGCGGAGGGGCTCTGGCTGGGCTGCGCTCCACATCAGTGGCGAGCTCTTGTACCTTTTTATTGGCATTTCTCCTTCCCTGATTTACATTTTCTTTTCTTTTTAAAAATATGTTTTTATTGATTTTAGAGAGAGTAGAAGGGAGAAGAACAAAGAGATAGAAATCCTGATTGGAATTGAACCGGTTACCTCTTGGTTCATAGATGGAAGCTTGCACCCCTGAGCCACACCATCCGGGCCCCTGAGTTGCATTTTCTGCCCCCTCCCTCCTCATCCTTGGGGCCACCCTCCAGGAAGTCTCAAGTTCTGGTCTCAGGCACTGTGTTCAGGGGAACACAATCCAAGCCCTCTGCCCTGTTTCCTCCTCATTGTTCCTCTTCTGAATATCTTGGTGACTAGGACCCCTCCCTATCTGGAAGGAAAGAGGAAAGGAGGGGAAAGGAAGGGGATCGAAAGGAGTCTGACTACCTCAGAGATGGGGCATAATGTCCTCTGCCATCTAGGGTGGGCTAGGCACGCTCTCATCTGGTATCTCACTCAAATTTTAACGACAAACCGGTGAGGCAGATTATTATTCGCCCTGTTTTATGGATGAAGGAACTGAAGAGGCTGTGAGCAGTCAGTAACCAGCTCTGGCCAAGGCCATAAATAACTTCGTGGCAGAACAGGGTTTTAAACCCAGATTTATGTTCTTTCAGGCACTTCCCTTTATGAGTGGGGTTCTTTAAAATGATCTGAAAGCAAGACTTGTTTTCTTTTCTTTTCTTTTTTACTATACTAGTACTTCAATTTATTGGCATTGTCAATCTATGAACAAGACAGGTATTCCCCTCCCCCCATGAAGTAATATCATTATATCTCCTTTCCTTCCTTCCTTCTGTCCTTCCTTCTGTCCTTCCATTCTTTCTTTTTAAATAACCAGAAGTCTGTTGTGGCTTTTGGAGAGTTTGCAATTTTCTCCCCTTTTTTGAATGTATTGGGGTGACACTGGTTAATAAAATAAGACGGGTTTCAGGTGCACAATTCCACAACATTTCATCTCTACACCCTATGTGTGTTCACCACCTCAAGTCTCAAGTCAAGTTTCCATCCATCACCGTTTATGCCCTCATATTCTCCTCCAACTCCCTCTACATCCCCACCCCCACAATCACCACACTGTTGTTCATTTCCATGAGTTTTTTTTTTCTCTTCTCTTTTGCTCAACTTCTCTACCACCCCCATCCACCGATGGACACTTGGGCCGTTTTCTATCTGCTATAACATGTGTTCACACATCTTAACTGAAAATGTAGCATTTCAAACTTTGCTCAGGGTAGATTATTCCTTATTCACTTTCACAACTTTTATGCTGCTGCCAGAAGTCTTCTTGGCATTTGCTTTGAATTCTGTTTTCCGTGCGTCTCTCACTGCTTTTGCAGAGATCTGGGAGTATGGGATGTAGCTGAGTCCAGCCTGTTGCCAATAGCCACCATGATGTTGGACCCAATCACGAGGATGCATCAAAGTCAGCTCAGTGGTGACCCGGGAAGGATTTTGAGTCATGTAAGACTATTAGTATTTTTAATTAAATATTTTAATAATGTCATTGAAGTAGAGTTGAGATCTAGCTGGTTTTGCTCATTGGCTACAGCATCAGCCCATGAACTGAAGGGTCACAAGTTTGATTCCAGTCAAAGGCAGGTACCTTGGTTGCAGATTCGATCTCTGGCCCAGGTTATAGCACGTGCCGGAGTCATCCAATTGATGTGTCTCTCTCACATCAACGTTTCTTTCCCTCTGTCCCTTCCACTCTCTCTAAAAAAATCAATGAAGTTTACTTTCAATATACTGCACATATTTAAGGTGAACAATGGGATGAGTTTTGACATATGTATATGCCCATGATACCATCACCACAATTAAGATAGTGAACATATTTATCACACCCAACAGTTTCCTTGTGCCCCTTTCCAATTCGTCCCTTCTGCCTTTCTATGCCATCCCCCCTGTCTTGGCAACTACTAATTTGCTTAGTATCAGTTTAGATTGGTTGTCTTTTCTGTTTTATATAAATGAAATCACATAGTATGTATTCTTTATTGTCTGATCTCTTTCACTCAATGTAATTTTTTTGAGGTTCACTTACATTGTTGTGTGTATCAATAGTTCATTCTTTTTTATTGTGGGATTGTGGGGTAGTATTCCATTTTACCACAATTTCTTCATCCATTCACCTGTTCATGGACAATAATTTTTGGCTATTACACATAAAGGCCCGATGAATATTAATGTACAAGTCTTTGTATGAGCATATGCTTTCAATTCTCTTGGAAAAATATCTAAGAGTAGAATGGCTCAATCATATGGTAGATATAAATCTAACTTTTGAAGAAACTGTTAAAATGATTTCCCAAGTGGTTGTACAATCTTATATTCCCACCAGCAATGTGAGAGTTCCAGCTCTTCTCTATCCTTTCCAGTGCTGATATGCCCAATGCTAGCTGTTCTGACAGGCATCACATTGTGGTTTTAATTTCCATTTCCATGATGACTAATGACATTGAGCCTCTTTTCATGTGTTTACTTGCCATCCACATATCTTCTTAGATAAGTGTCTGTTCCATATTTTATTGAATCGTTTGTTTTCTTATTATTGAGTTTTAATTTTTCTTATATATTTGTTTTTCTCTTTGGTGGGCTGTGTTTTTGGTGTCATCTATAAGAGATCTTTGCAAATCTAAGGTCACAATTATTTTTTTCTTGTTTTCTTCTAAAAGTTTTAGATAAAGATTTTTACATTCTTATGTTAGTTTTTAAAAATATATATTTTTATTGATTTCAGAGAGGAAGGAAGAGAGAGATAGAAACATCAATGATGAGAGAGAATAATTGATTGGCTGCCTCCTGAACACCCCCTACTGGGGATCGAGCCTGCAACCAGGCATGTGCCCTTGACTAGAATCTAACCTGGGACCCTTCAGTCTGCAAACCGATGCTCTAACCAATGAGCCAAACCAGCCGGGGCTATATCTGTTAGTTTTATTTAAAAATAGATCTACTCAAATTTAAGGTTCAGACATCTCTGATTAAGGGATGTGTGTGTGTACCTCTTGGATTTTTTATGACCTTTTTCCTCTTTTTTTTAAAAAAAATATTTTTTTATTGATTTCAAAGGAAAGGAGAAGGAGAGAGAGATAGAAACATCAATGATGAGAGAGAATCATTAATCAGCTGCCTCCTGCACACCCCTACTGGGGATCAAGCCCACAACCACGCCATGCGCTCTTGACCAGAATTGAACCTGGGACCCTTCAGTTCACAGGCCAACACTCTATCCATTGAGCCAAATCGGCTAGGGCTCTCTTGGTTTTTATAGAAATTTATTTTGAAAGTGTTAGATTGACTCACATTTGATAAAGGAACTACAGATGGGGAATTTGTGTAGCTTAGGCCAGTTTTTGGATGGAAGAGGGTGCCTTCCACACCTGAAGCTTTGGTGTGGAGGTAGACAGGTAGCTCAAAGCATGAAGGATGTTTAAGTGACCGCTAGCCTCACCGAAAGATGTGCCTTCTCTGGCAAAGGTTTAAAGGGTTTTGCTTTGTTTTAATATTGGAGGCTGTGGAAAGGTTCTGATCTGTGTTGCAGCATGGTCAGATTTGTGATTTAGGAAGACCAAGCCAGTGTCTGCTTGGAGCATGGATTGAGTTGGGGAGATCTGGAGGCAGAGAAAACAGGAGACCACAGAGAAATTTAAGAAAGATAATGAAGCCCTGAACACAGTTTATGACAGTGGGGATGGAGAGGATGGAACACAGACTGGAGATATTTCAGAGGCATTAATAAAGGATTTGGGGGATGAGAGATAAGGAATATTAGAAGTTTCTATTCTGGGACATTGAGGGAATAATACCATGAACGGAGATGTGGAACATAGAAAGGGCACATATGTTGTGTGGGAATGGATTCTGTTAGGATGTGGGCACATTTGTGTGAGAGCCCAGTGCTGCAGCCTCAAGGGATCCCCAGAAGGCAGGAGGAAGCCTGCGACTAGAGCAAGAAGAGTGGCAAGCACTGGGCTGAAATTAATGGCATCAACCAGGAGAGTCTATGGAGGGAGAAAGGAAGAAGGTAGAGGACAGAGAACCCCGCATTGTGAAGGTCAGGCCAACAGAAGAGACATTACTGAGAGAAACAGAGGTCAGGGAGGCAGGGGCAGAATCAGGAGAGAATCCTCAGAGTCAGCTGCTACTGAGAGGGCATTAAGTTTGAGTTTCCCCAAAAGAAGAGCCAGAGCATGGATTGGGCACAGGTAGTTTTTTGGAGAGTGATCCCAGGAAGCAGGAGTGAGGAATCACAGAAAATGAGGTAGGGAAGGGGAAAAGTCAATAAAAGGGTGTTTTATTGAGATTGTGGTGGTAGGCAATGCAGGCTTCATTCCACTAGAACTTCCAAAGTTAGAGAATGCCTCCCAGAATTGTCCACATGAAAAACGGGAGTCTGGAATATCCATCTGCCAATGTCTGTACTCATTAATTGATGATTGTACCTGGATACGAACTGCCTGCACCTCCTGGCTATGATTGCACCAGAGTGGGCTAGGAGAGGGGTGATGTGCAAGTCCCATTGCATGGGAGAAGGACTTTATAACGGTTCATTTTATTTATCAACTGGGAGGGTATGTTTGGATGAGATTAACATTTACGTTGGTGAACTTTGAGTAAAGCAGCCTTCCTAATGTAGGTGGGCCTTATGTAGTTAGTTGAAGAATTATCCAGCAGACTGCCTTCAGACTTCATCTGTACCATCAGTTCTCTTGGGTCTCCAGCCTGCTTGCCTTTGGACTGAAACCGCACCACTGGCTCTCCTCAGTCTTGAGCCTGCCGGCTCACAATGAAGATTATAGACTTGGCATCCTCCATAGTTGTGTGATCCAATTCCTTATAATAAATCTCTCTCTCTCTCTCAATATATATATATATATACATGTATATATATATGTATATATATGTATATGTATATATACATACACATGTGTGTGTGTGTGTGTGTGTGTGTGTATATCCACATTATACACACACACACACAAATCCTTGTTTTTGTGTGTGTGTGTGTGTGTGTGTGTGTGTATATCCACATTATACACACACACACACAAATCCTATTGGTTTTGTTTTTCTGGAGAACTGTGACTAATACAGACCTGAAGCAGGATGTGAAGGTTAAGGTGCAGACCTATAGTATGATATTGGCAGTGCAAGGTGAGTATGAGCTCACACAGAACTGTCCACTACAGCTGTGGCTGAACTCAGGATGTGACCATAGTTATCTGCTAAGGTAGTAAATAAGAGAAGACTCACACAGCTTGTGGGGTTTGAAAGTAAAAAAGAGACGATGGTGACTGTTGAGAGAGGAGTTCTGTGTTTCATTTTGAGTGAGTTAATGAGTGTGTGCGATCTGCAGAAATTACCATTGAGAAGTTTGGTAGTGAAGGGAAGGAAAACAAAATGAATGTTAGGTTAAGCAAGGAAAAGGATCAAGGGATTTTAAAAATCTTTTTCTCTTTCTTTAGGATGGATGACTTGAGACTGTGGAGAAGAGGGAGTAGCAGTAGAGAGGGGAAAGTTACAGGCCTAAGAGAGGGAGTGAGGACCCTGAATAGTGGGTAAGCACAGTTTCAGGAGGTAGAAAGATTAGCCTTGCTCAGAATTAAGAATATCTTCTTATGAAAAGAAAACAGGAAATAGGAAATAAGTTAAGACACTGAGTTACACAGAAGAGATAGGAAGGAAATAGTTTCTATATGCTCAGACAAGCAGGGAAGAGAGAGGTAATGTGTAGTTTAGTGGCAATAATGCAGGTTTGGAGTCAGATTGATAGGCCTCGGCTGGGATTTCAGTTTCAACATTTCAGCTGTTTGTTTTTGGGAAAATTCCTTAATCTCTGTGTCAATGTCCATATACTGTATATACAATGGGGAACTAATTAATATCTACTTAAAAAGGTTAGTGGGTGGAGAGAAGTATATGATATATGTATTACAATTTCTGTCACATAATAGACACTTAAAAGAGAATAACAATTATTAAGTAAAACAGTTTCCTGAGTGGGAAAAAATAAGGGGGGCTTGGGTATGGATGAACTCTTATGAAAAGTGGGAAATAAAGACAAATCTATTATTTATAGGATTTTTTTCAGTTCTAGATTTTACATTTAATTATTTTTATAGATTTCATTTCTCTGCTGAAATTTTCCATCTTACCATCTACTTTCTCAAACTTATTAATTGCAGTTGTTTCAAAATCCATGTCTTATAAGTCCAATATTTGGATCAGCTGTGGGTCTGTTACTACTGAGTATTTTTTTTCTCTCTTGGTTTTCAGCAATTTGATGATATCTCCTGAGGCATCTGATAATTTCTGACTGAATGACAGTTATTTTGTCTAAAAAATTGTAGAGATAGTTGTGTCTGAATAATACTAGATTTCTTCAAAGATAATTCACTTTAATTTCTGGCAGGCAATTAAAAGAGGGGAAAATCACTTTAATCCAATGTGGGGTTGAG